TACTGTACGGCAGTACGGATTCAGACGGACATACTAAATTTTGATCGTACGTACGGTTAATGCTGGTATTATCGTGAGTACTACGTACCATGATTTTTACACGTCCTAATTTGCGTTTCCGTACTGTACTTTAAATTAAAAAACATATGCCACTTTAGTCACTTGATAACGCCAATTCCATGGCAATACACAAATAGTAAAGCCAATATTGCGCAATTTTATAAATTGCTTTATTAAGCAGTTATTATATACTGCCAAAACCCAAAAAAAAATCCAAATAAACTTGTAATTTTTATGTCATAGGATGGACAATAAATATCTAAATTTGGCTAATCATCGTAAAAAAAATCACAAGATTGGTATTACGTTCCCTAGTACTATACATCGAGATTAGCATTGATACCCTTAAAAGTCCAGTAATTTAAATTGAAACCAAACTTATATAGAATCTATAAGTCCAATATTCCGAATATTCCGGTTTATAATTTGGTAGAACGGAATTGTTGCAGTTGCCCAACACTAGTAAAGATTTATGTTAAACCATTACCGTATTTTAAAATAAGCATAACAATAAATTAAATAGAAAAGTGTGCTGGTTTGCGTGTTTAAATGTGTCCAATTGCTTTCACATATTTCTGGTCATTGAAAATATAATTATCTCACGAAGAAATGTATATTTTAGTGTTAGAATTATGAAAAATAAAATAAATATAAATAAAAAAAGATTATAAGTTACGAATTGCATTAGATAGAACCTTGAAATAACGGGCGTGGCGTCGTTCTAAAACTCGAATCTTTTAAAATGGTATACTTGATTTTGAGGTTACACCTATGAACATCCTACAGCTTAAAAAAAATATCAGCGAATAATTAATATGGTAATATGATAAAAATCAAGTTTCAAATTTATAATTTACCTGAAATACAAATACTGCGAGCATATTATAACATAATAAGATGTCCAATATTTCTAGCATGATTATAAAATAAATTTTAAGAAATTAGCAGTTCTTAGAGACGTGACCCGATCAATTTTTTTATTCAGAAAAACTGGTTTTTCTATATAAAAAATTGATCGGGTCACATCTCTAGCAGTACAGTAGAATTTTTTTCAACTTTATAAAAAGTTTTTAGCTTTTATTCTATTATAATTATGGGGAAAAAAAAGGATAAAGTAATTTTAGCTGGCAATTTGTGCAATGATCAAAGAAAACTGATATGTGATCATTATCATAATAATCCCAACCTTACCCAAAAAGAGCTTGCAGAGTGGGCAAAAAATGAGTTTAATTTATTGAAAGCCCCAGCTCAAAGTACGATTTCGGATATTTTGAAACGGAAGGAGGAGTTTGATGCAATGTCCACAAGTGATCTTGGAGTTAAAAGGCGTCGTGTTGTTATGTTTCCCAAATTAGATACTGCATTGGCTAATTGGGTTTTACAATGTGAAGATCAAGCTGTATGCCTAAATGGAAATATGATTAAAGCCAAGGGTAAACAATTAGCGGATTTAATGAAAATTTCGGAAGATAACCGGCCAGAGTTTTCGAACAGATGGTTGCAAGCTTTTCAAGAAAAACACAATTTTCATCACTTTAGGCTTCACGGTGAGAGCAGTTCTGCTGATCTTGAAGCTATTGAACTAAACCTTCCTAATATTATTCATAAAACCGATAAATTTCCTCTAAGCGATATTTATAACATGGACAAGACTGTATTGTTTTATTCTATGGCTCCTGATCATACTATTGCATCTCGTCAAATTGAAGGATCAAAAAAAGATTGCATATGACTAACGATTTCACTTACATCTAATGCCAATGGTACACACAAGCTTCAATCATTCATTATTGGTCATGCCAAAAAACCTAGGTGTTTTAAAAAAAAAATTGGTAAACAACTTGGGTTTTATTATCGTAACAATCTAAAGGCTTAGATGACCGCTCTGTTCTTTCAGGTAATAATACAAATTAAAAAATAAACTAGTTAGTCAAATTATTAATAAATAAGGTGGATCTGTGAATATCCACGTATAAAAATGAATATTCAATTAAAGACGAATATTCAATTATATAAAATTAGTGAATAGTCAAGGGCAGTGATTATTTGTCGCTATGCGGACTGTGTGCAGCACACAGAAACAAAATATTGCGCACATTTGCTTTTGAACAGATGTGCGAATCCGCACAGAAAAAAATTAATAGTTTGTAAGTAGTGCATACACTTATAAACTGTTGCTTATAGTTTTTCTTGTTTGCCGCATAGAAAAGTTTCTAAATTGTGTGGTATTTGCGCAGTAAATTTTAACTGAAAAATTAACACTGGTCAAGGGTTAGATTAATTACACAAAATTTGTTATAGTCGTGAATATATATATTTTTTTTTAATGTGCTTCATAATATTGTTATTAAGTTATACTTTAATTTCAGGAATAGATTGAAAATTTTGACAAAGAAATGAGAAATTCAAACCGATGTGTTTTACTTATCCTAGATGGTGCCTCTTCACATGTTACTGGTGCTGTTACTCTAACTAATGTAGAGGTGCTTAAATTACCTCCATATGTAACATCAAAGATCCAGCCGATGGATGCTGGTATTATTGCATCATTTAAGCTTCATTATCGTCGTATGCAACTTCAACGTACAATTGATCATGATGAAGCCGGGGAAAGTGATATCTATAAAGTTGATCAATTACAGGCTATGAGATGGGTAAAAGTTAGTGTTGGAGATGTTCATATTTTTAAAAAAATTTGAACATAGTTCAAATATTATATGTTCTATTAAAAAATTCTACCATATCGTCGTGAAATAACGCCCCAGGGCGTTATTTAGAGACACATTGCTTGAAAAAGGCTAATAATTAATTTAGCCGAAGTTTTTAATACAAAAAATTATGATTTGCATTCTGTTAAATTAATTATTAATTTTCATCAAGCAATGAGTCTCGAAATAATGCCTGGGCATTATTTCATGATGATATAGCATGTTATATATTTTTTTAATTTGTCTAAATATCATTATTGGTTAACACTAATAAAGTTTGCATGGGATGAAGTATCTGCTAGTACGATCAACAATTGCTGGTTCCACACGAAAATTATATCTCCACGTGATGAAGATGGTGCAGTTGTTCTACCTCCCCTACCTCCTCTTATTGAAGATGTGGAAGAAAGCATATTTGTCGATCTGGATGATGAACTAGCTACTGAAGAGCTTCAGCAAACACTAAATGCATTGCACATTTGTAATCCAATGCCAATTAAAGATTTGTTAGACCTTGAGGAGGAAAGAACAGAGATATACCAACAATTTAATGATGATAACTTTGTTCAAGCTGCTACAGAAATAGACCACGTAGAAAATGAAGTCATTGCACAACCCTTAACCGGAAAAGAACAGTTGGATATTCTGCGCAATGCTCTGCAAATCGTCGATGAGAGAATTGATGATGGTGGGGTTACAATGAAGTCTTTGCGCAAGCTTCAATCACATATTCATGAGGAGGTTCAAAAAGAAGAGGCTGAAAAACAGGTTCAATCTACACTGGATCAATTTTTTCAAAGGCCTGAATGATAAATAAGCTTAATTATAAACAGGTAAGCTTTCTTTATAATTAACAAAAAAAAAAAATATAACTTCGTATAACTTCACAGTAATACTATAGTAGACAAAAATATCATGAATAAATAATAAATAAATGGTCAATAACTTATCAGTTATTAGTGGGTATAAAGCGTTGATTGTATCTTGCTTAGTGTTCATCTAGTAGAATGTGACAAGTTAATAATTTAAGTTTAGTTTCGACACCTCATTTCAAGATCACTTTAATGCAAAATTTTAAATAGCCATATAAAATACAGCACCTAGGCCCAGTATAGTTCATAGATCTTAAAGGTTTCAATAGATTTATAGTGATGACTAAGTTTATAGAAAGCAAAGGATTTAAAACGCGTACACGAATTTAACATGCAAAGAACGGGTCTACGTACGTACGTACGTATGTAAGTTAATCACGTGGAACTTAGTAGATTTTATGCGATTTGATTGGATAATTTCCACGTGACACTAGCCAATAAATCAGAAACTTGACTGTATCTGTAATTATAGATATTTACTTTACATATATAGTCACATTATAAATAATATAAGATATATATTTTATTATTATACTTATTCTATACTCATTATTTTTGTTACAACAAACTGAATAATTATAGATCAAAATACTGTATAAAAGAATATTGTAAAAAATGCAGAAAATGTGCAAATAACTAAATAAAATTGAAAACCAAAATTCAGATACGTAGTATATACTGTATATAGATAAAATATAGCAAATACGTAGAATATTTTAATAGAAATATACGTACATATCAAATCATAAAATCTCTAAAAATAAATATAATACGTATATGTTATATGATGTATAATATGTATTTACTGTTTAGAAAGCATAATAATATATAATATAATATTGGATATTAATAACCATTCTTAACTGCACCATTATACCTCCAGTTGTGCCTCAGGTGCATTCTTGCTTTAGTTTGATTTCACATGACATTTATATATAATGATATTTATATAGAAAAGAATTTATTAACCTGTAAAAAAATATGAATCCGCATTTAAGATATACAGTATATTTTTGGTTACAGAAGGTTTGAAGGTGTAATATATAATTTTAAACTAAGATAAGGTTTGCCTTACATGCTTTATTAACTATTAGGTTGATCTTTAGTATAGGTGGGCATATATAATTATTATACAATTATAATATATATAACTTAACTATTTTGAACTAATTTAAATAATTTTGTAAATTATTAGGGTTAGGGTTAATGTTGGAATTTAAATTGGCTCAAATTAGATTTTATATATTATAATTTTGTAATAATTTATATATGCCCACCTATACTAAAGAAGATCCCCACAAATGTTATTCGTGGAGTCAAATCCAATGTACTGTATAATCGTTTTACACAACAGGATTTTTTATTAAGCAAATCAAACTTCATCCACTAAGTAAAGTTATTGAAATTGATTAATGAAAAATTAACCAAATCGCATCAATAACTTAGTGGATGAATTTCGATTTTCATAGCAAACAATCTTGTTTTCATGAGTTATTTTTTTAAATTAGTATATCAGATATATATACACCATATATGTTAATAACTTATATTGATCTTTCAAAAAAATTTATTCGAAATTATGAAAATCACCATAACTATTGGTAGGGCATTGTGTTTTAATATTCATTGATATCAATATGTACTAATCCAATTGAATTTGAATATGTAAATTCAATATGTACTAATCCAATTGAATTTGAATATGTAAATTCAATATGTCTAGTGTAATAGTTATTTGTTCTAAACCTTTTAGTTTGTTTTTAGTTTGTTGTAGAGAAAAGTTTAGTATATATGTATATATATATATGTATAGAGGTCTAGTATAGAGAGAGGCGACTATGATCATTTTATAAATGCATTAAAAATGAAATTTTGCACAAGATAATTATATTATACATATAGTGTGTATATATAGATGTAATAGGTTGATGACCATCCCTCAAGAAATTATGTGATTTTCTACATTTCCCCAAACAAATTAAAATTATTGATTATAAAAATTTTTAACATTACTATATATAATTCAATTAAAAGTTCATATGATCAGTTTAATAATAATATAAAGATACTCATACAGGTGGTGAAGGATCTGTTAGCATTTTTCTTAACATTGATCCCCAAGAATCATTCGTTGCAGGAATTGCGATCTTTTAAATATATTAATTTTCATTATTATTCATCAATTATTAAAAATTAATAAATGTATAAAATTATATGATACATTAAAATATAAAGTGACTAATTTACCTGATAAGGAAATGGGTTCGCATCAAGAGACGTGATTGGTGGAATATGATCTTTTTTATCATTTACATATCGAATAATCTTAAATAGGCATGCTGAAAGTTGTCTGTCCATTTCCTTACGGATCCTTATTTTATCTGAAAAGAAATGATAAAAAAAAAATAAAAAAAAGATAAATAAAATGATAATGATAAATAAAATGATGAATAAAATGATGAATAAGATGATGAATAAATGATAAATAAAAAAATTGTTGATAAAACAAGTGACCTATGATTTTCTCAAATTTAATAATAATAATAATAATAATAAATTTACCGCTTTCTGTATGACATATCACTGTTGTTATGGTAACAGCCCATTGTTCCCAGCAAATATCCTCTTCAGTTCTACTGAACCATACATTCTTTGTGGTTCTTTTTTCATGGAACGTCACGGAGATCTAAACGTTATAAAAGAATCATACGTTATAAAAGATTCATGTGTTATAATAAAAATAATGTATAAAGATGTTTTGCAAAAAATTTTTAACAACCTGTCCCTTTTGATTTCCATGACTTTCAAGGTTACGCACGAATTGCTCAACTTTTTCATCCACCATCTTCTCAACTTCGGGATCATCTATTGCAGACTTTGAATAACAGATGAAAATAAGGAAATATAAATTAATCATCAAAAATATATAGAAAAGTTGTACCACATACATAAGTGATATCCAACAAGTCTACTTCTTTCGGTTTTATATTCCCAAAAATTCGATAAAATAGTATTGTATGCAATATTGCTGGTAACATTAAAAAGAAAATAATAAGAATGGATCGAACGCATAAAGAAAGCAGCTAGGGAACACACTCATGCAAATCATTATTATCGAACATATCATAATAATAACTTTTATTATTATATACTAATTTTCTATTATTCTTCAGCCCTGATATTCTCCGATTAAAATAAACTAAATAAATGGGTGTGTTCTGTAGCTCTTTTTTCTAGCATAAACCGAGTATATAAATCCGGTCAATTTTTACCACGCAACACATCCGGAACTACAGATCCATCAACTGTCTGAAAAAAAAAAGCTTATTGTTAGGATATTTATATAATCTCTGCAAAACATGAATCGAGATCTTTAAAAAAAAAAATCTTGTACCAAGTTGATTGAAAAAACTTCAGGCGTCATTTCAACTATACATGGGTGTCGAAAATATTTTGCTCTTGGCGTAAATTTAAAATGGAGAAAATGTTTTTTGACAGTCAAAATCGTAAAATAATTTAAAATTTTTTTTTTTTTTTTTTTTTTTTTTGGTATTGTATCGGTTAAATAAAAATATAAATATCGATATATATTAAATACTTATATTAGATGATCGATTAACAATTCTGCACGTGATTAATACGAATGCGTATGCGTATAACGATAGGCAAGAAATGACGATAAAGGAAATAATAAGAATAACAATAACGTACGTACGTACAGGTATCATGCTTACGACGTACGTACGTAAACAATGATACCAGGTAGAGTTTCAATCCGGATAAATCCGTCATCCATTTATCCATATCTGAATTTATCCGGGTATCTGTTTGCTATTGGTATCCGGATAATCCGACAAATATTCGGATAAATTATTCGGATAT